TATCTAAAGCAAGCATTTAAGTTTAAACTTCAAATAATTTTTTTTTTTATTTTTTAATGTGATGAAATTTCATAGTTTAGAAACAATTATCTAAAGTGACCATTTCAGTTCAATTAAATTCCTAAATAACAACAATTAAACTTCAAATATTATTCTCTGCAATAAATTTTTAAATATTCAGTGAAACTTTTATTTATCAAAATAAGTATCAACGTTGAACCAAGCAGCGCTTCGGTCCGCACCTATTTTTCTGTTCCGGAACAGGAAACGGACCTTGAGTGGGACCATGAACTTGTTCCGGAACAGGAAACGGACCGCGAGCGGGACCATGAACCTGTTCCGGAACATAAACCGGACCTTAAGCGGGACCATGAATCCGTTCCGGAACAGAAACGGACCGTTCCGCTAAACGATAAATCTGTTCCGGAACAGGAAAAGGAACTTGTTCCGGAACAGAAAACGGACCTTAAACGGATCTCGGAACACGGACCGAAGCCCGCAACCAAGTTATTTTAGTTTTATCCAAAAGTTCTAATATCTGAAGAATGCAATAACATAATTGGAGTGAGATTCAAAAACGATTAATCATTTTTATCGAGAGATTCAAGAAGAAAACGATAATCTCCCCTTGGAAAAATATCTGGAAACGCAACTGTGGATATTACGACACTTTTATCATCGAGTTCATGTATGGGACACTTTCTGATTAATTTTTCGTCTGAAAGTTTTAAAGTTCTGTAGTAAAGTTTGACGATCGGATTTGTGTTGTTCTCAAAGGAACACCAATTGAACTGAGGAGATTTAATGATTTCTCTGAAAATATTACCATAGCGATATTCCAACAAGAGTGGTTCCTATTTGTGAAAAATTAGTGACATTAAATTATCGGCAATTTTTTGAAACATCACAAAAAGTTTTAACTTACGTAATAAACTTCCAAAGGTTTTTTAAATTTTACGTAAACTGTAAAAGTGTAAGTTGTCCGATTGAAAGGTTTTGCGTAGCAAGTCATGTTCGGAAAATAAAAATCTTTCACTCCTTCACACTTTAAGCTTTTCATTTCAATTCTTTGAAATGGTTTTCCATTTATTTCAGAAGAAAAACCAAGAGAAAATGTTGAAAGGATCGTGAAAATGCCAAAATATATTTTGAAGTTCATTTTCAAGTGACAAAACTACGTGAAGAATTTTGATGAACAATTGCTTTAAAATGATGAAATTTTTTAGTTTAGAAATAATAATCTAAAGTGAGCATTTAAGTTTAATTTCATTCGTAAATTGCAACAATTAAACTTCAAATATTTTTCCCTGCAATGAATTTTTAAATATTCTGTGAAACTTTTATTTATCAATTTAAATATCAACGTTGAACCAAGTCATTTGAATTTTATCCAAAAGTTGTAGTAAATATCTGAGGAATGCAATGTCATAATTGCAGTAAGATTCAAAAACGATTCCTTATTTTTATCGAAATATTCAACCAACAAACGATAATCTCCCCTTGGAAAAATATCTGGAAATTCAGCTGTGGAAGCTACGATATTTCTATCACCAAATTCATTTACCGGACATTTTTTGATTATTTTCTCGCCTGAAACTTTTAAAGATCTGTAGTAAAATCTGACGATCGGATTTGTGTTGTTCGCCACGGAGCACCAATTGAACTTAGGAGATTTGCCGATTTCTCTGTAAATATTACCATAGCGATATTCCAGAAAGAGTTGTTCCTATTTGTGAAAATTTAATTACAATAAATTATCAAAAAAATTTTGAATCATCACAAAAAATTTTAACTTACGTAAAAATCATCCAAAGGTTTTTTAAATCTAACGTAAATTGTGTACGTGTAAGCTGTCCGATTGAAAGGCTTTGCATAGCAAGTCATGTTGGGAAAATAAAAATCTTTCACCACTTTGCACTTTACGCTTTTCATTTCAATTCTTTGAAATGGTTTTCCATTTATTTCAGAAGAAAAACCATGAGAAAATGTTGAAAGCATCGTGAAAATCCCAAAATATATTTTGAAGCTCATTTTCAAGTGTCAAAGTTACATGAAGAATTTTTTGAACGACAACTGCTTTAATGTGATGAAATTTTATAGTTTAAAAGCAATTATCTAAAATGATCATTTAAATTCAAATAAATTCCAAAATAACAACAATTGTAAGGCATATTATCTAAATAACTTTATTTATCCAAAAGTTCGTGAGTGTAAAAATAATTGAAAAAGTATTCTCCACCTGAAAAGGATCACATGTGCTGCTCTCTTTCTATTCATTTTGTCGTTCCAAATATTATGCCCTAATTAAATTAAATAAGCAATAGAAGTTTTCCTACAACATAATGTGAGCATGAAATTTCAGTTCTACTTTAAAATCGCTCGGGAAAAGTTAAAAAAAGGAAACCAAGGAAAAATAAGTAAACAGTGCAAAAGGAAAATTATTAATTTAATTGGATAAAGTTTTCATTTCACTCTTTTGTGATACAAGGAAATTTAGAAGGTCCCATTTAAGTTAATCATGAAAGTTTAAATTGACATCAAAAAAGAAATTAAAGTTAAAATTATAATCAGATTAATGCAAAAATAAAATCAATTTGAAGTATTTAAATTACTATTAAACTGTGTGAAGTTAGTTGATCAATTGCAGAGATAAAAGAAATCAACTAATGGTTAATTAAATTTGTTAATGTTGAAGAAAATTAAATTAATAAATAATTTATTTGACAAAGAAAGAAAAGAAATTTTCAGTGCACTTATAAGGATTTAAAAACGCCACGTTCACTTTTTCTTACTTAATTTACGACTAAAGAAAGTCTTTCATAATGAGCTTATTAGCTTACGATTCATTGCCATCCCCAGACAAACGATTTGAGTTGAAGGAAATAATTGGAACTGGTGTATGCTCAAAGGTTTACCGAGCGATCGATAAAGAAGAAAATAACCGATCAGTCGCTATAAAATGTCAACGTTACGAAAAAGATATGATTACACATATCAATGAAGAATATCGAATTTTGCGTGACTTTTCATCACATCCAAATCTTCCCGACTTTCATGGAGTTTATCGGAAACAATTTACAACTGTGCAGCCTGACGAAATTTGGTTCATTTTAGAGTTTTGTGAGCCAGGCTCAGTCATTGATATCATAAAATCTCTTCACGCAATTAATAAGAGAATTTCTGAAGAACACATTGCTTACATATTAAGTGAAACTGCTAAGGGTTTGTTACACCTTCATGAGAATCACGTGATTCATCGTGATGTTCGAGGAAGTAACATTTTGATGGCTAATGATGGGTCAATCAAGTTATGTGACTTTGGACTTGCGAGAGATTTGAATTCAAATAATGGTAAGAGATCCACTTTTATTGGATCACCAAACTGGATGGCACCAGAAGTTGTTGCGAGTTCTAAGAGAGACAAGAACAGTGTTTATGAAAATCGAGCTGACGTTTGGGCTTTGGGAATCACAGCAATTGAATTGGCTGATGGTAAACCGCCATTTGGTGATATGAATCCAACACGAACAATGTTTCAAATATTGAGAAATCCTCCCCCAACTTTATATCGTCCATCCAATTGGAGTCAAAATTTTAATGATTTTATTGCTGAGTAAGCGAATAGAAAATATTTCAATTGACTCATTTACATTTTGTGAATTCAATTTATTTTAGATGTTTGGAGAAGAATCCTGATCACAGACCATTTCTAGCAGAACTGATGGAGCATCCTTTTTTCACTGAACTCCCTGCAAATAGTTACCATGTGAGTGTCACAAAAGAATTACAATTCATTAAATTTCTTTTTAAAAACCTCTGGAAAAATTGCCCCTGAAAGTTATGCAACGTGCATCACTGAAAGCTTTCGAAAAGTTTTCAAAAGTCTCCAAAACTTATTTTCCCTTATCTACTAAATTATGTTTCAAAATTATGCTTTGGAGTTGTTATTTGGATACTATTAGATAATCATTTTTTAATATTTTTCATAAAATCTGTTGCATCATAAGGACAAAATTCAGTGTGTTGAGAATCTTTTCAAATTTCTTTTCTTTGTTCATCATGAAAAATGAAATAAAAAAATATTTTGGGAAATTTATCTTGACCCACATTTTTAATTACATAAATATATTTGATGCAGATATATTTGAGCGACATAAATTGTCGTTAATATTTTGTTGTCTAGAAATTCTAAAATTAGAAATAATTAAAAAAATTATTTCACATTTAAATTTGGAAATTCCGGATGATGGTTTTTATTGGTGTTGGTGTTATTTTGGGATTTCCGCAAATTATTCTTGAAAAAACTTACAAAAATTATCAATTAACTTATCAATTAAAAAACGATTAATTATTCATATGCATTTGAAACAAAATATCAATTAATAAAAAGAATATTATTTACGTAGCTAGAAGAAGAAAATTGCCGAAAATTAATAAGATAATTTGGTGAGAATATTCCAGTCACAATTTAGGAATTTCCACGAAAATTGACTGCCAGTTTGTTCACTCATAGACAATTTTAATTGGATTTAATTAAATTTTATATTCAACTTTCAGCTTTCTCAAGAACTGAAAATTCTTCAAAGCGATATCGAATCAATAAACTTTCCATTGCAACACGAATCGATTATTTGTCAAGGATACATTCAGACACATGACAATAAGCTCGAGAAAATGTTTGTTGAAGATCTTGCTGCATTGGAGCCACTTTCCGATGATGGTCTTGTTGAAGAAATTAAAAATCGATTAAAAACGGGCGATAATTATTCTTTTATTGGCGACATTTTGCTACATAGCAGTAAATCCAAACAAAGAACTTTCAGCTTACGATCGAAAGGTTTGATTTTAAATTTATTTTCCATTGAAATTAATTTGAATTTTGAAATTTTCTCAGTTCCATAATCGTTACATGTATAAATCACGTTCTGAAAACGCGCCACACATTTTCGCAGTGGCTGACAGTGCTTATCAAGACATGCTTCATCATGAAGAACAACAATTTGTCTTATTTTCCGGAGAAAGTTATTCTGGTAAAACAACAAACATGAGATTAGCTTTTAAACATCTCGTAATGATGGGTGAAGGAAATGCCGGAGTTGCTAAAAGAGTGACAAACGCTTTGCAAGCCATCACTGCTTTGACTCATTCGGGAACTTTACTAAATCAAGATTCAACTCGATGCGTTTTACAACTTCAAATGACTTTTGGGCGAACTGGAAAATTGAGTGGAGTAATTTGTTGGCTTTTCATGCTTGAGAAGATTCGAGTTTCGTCAACTGACATGCAAGTTTTCCCTTTTCTTTTATCTTCAGGCTTTACAAATTAGTTTTCTTCTTAGGTCACAACCGAATTTTCACATTTTTTATTATTTTTATGATGCAATGGAAGCTGAAGAGCGATTGAAAGATTTTAATTTGGAATGTGGACGGCAATATCGTTATCTTCGTGTTCCTGACAATTACATTAAATCAAAGTTAAGTCATGTGCGTGACGATCCACTTGGAAATGCCATGAAATTCAAAGAATTTGAACAATCTTTGTTAGCTCTTGATTTTCCACAAGACACACTTGAATCGATCTACAAGATTTTAGCAGCTATTTTGATTCTTGGTGAGATTCGATTTAAAGAAAGTGAAACTGATCGTAAAGCTGCCGTTGTCAATCCGAATGTGATTGAGTCAGTCGCTGAGTTCTTGAAGGTCGACGAAAAGAAATTTCAGTGGAGTTTGGTTAATTATTGCATTGTCATTAAAGGAAGTGTTGAGAAACGTCGACACACAGCTGATGAAGCCAGAGATGCAAGAGATGTTCTAGCTGGAACAATTTATGCTAGACTTGTTGACTTTATAGTCAACACAATTAATCATAAGCTTGCATTTAATCGAGCAATCTTGTAAGCGAAAATTGATTTTAAATTTATAAAAAAATTACATTTTTAATTGTTTCAGTGGCGATGTTCATTCCATAATCTTAATGGATCTCTTTGGTTTTGAATGCAATACGAAGAATCATTTCGAGCAATTAATTGTCAACTCATTTAATGAACAAATGCAATATCACTTCAATCAACGTTGTTTTATTTGGGAAATGATTGAACAAGAAGAAGAACATGTTCCGGTAACAAAGTTGCAGTTTTATGACAATAAAATTGCTGTCGATCACTTGATGAGTAATCCCAAAGGATTATTTCATGTCATCGATGATGCAAGTCGTGGTCAATATTCGTATGAATACATAACTGAATCAATAAATAATCGGAAATCGCCTTATGTACAACGTTACACTGCTCATGAGTTTACTGTTGCGCATTACACTGGAAAAGTCACTTACGACTCAAGAGATCTAATGGAGAAGAATCGAGATTTTATTCCACCTGAAATGATGGAAACTTTACGTGGATCGACGGAGTTCATCATTAAAATTTGCTTCAGTAATCCATTGACAAAAAGTGGAAACTTGACAATGGCTTTGAGTACTGATGTGGTTGAATCAACGACAAATGACAAACGAAAGTCAAGATGGGGAGCTGCTTTGTTGGGTGAAAAATATAAATCTAGGGTGAATAACATGAACTTGCATCAAATTAAATAACTTTAATTAAATGTTTATTATTTTTAAGAAAATGAACACTTTGTCACGTGGTCAATATTCACAAATCCATAAAATGCGAACGCTTGCTTCAATCTTTCGTGGAACTTCTTTAGAGATTCTCAAAAATCTTTCAGTGGTTTCAAACAGCAGCGGAGTTCATTATGTTCGTTGTATGAGAGCTGATCTTGAGTATCGTGAATTGGGATTGAATGAAGAAGTTGTTCGTCAACAAATGCGTGCGATGTCCATCTTGGATACAGCAAGAGCTCGTCAGAAAGGATTTTCAGTGAGAATTCCTTTCGCAGAATTTTTGAGACGGTAATTAACAGCATTTCTAGAAAGTTCTTTCAATTAAATTTTTATTCATATCTTAGATACAAATTTCTTGCCTTTGAGTTTGATGAAAATGTTGAAATCACGAAGGAAAATTGTCGATTATTGCTTATTCGATTGAAAATGGAAGGATGGCTTATTGGAACATCAAAAGTGTTTTTAAAATATTATAACGAAGAATTTCTTGCTCGTTTGTATGAAACGCAAGTCAAGAAAATCATCAAAGTTCAGTCAATGATGAGAGCTTTTCTTGCAAAGAGACAAGTTTGTGACAAAATGAAAACAGCAATTGCTACAATTCCAAAATTATGTCGTGAGAAATCCGAAGAAATGGATCCAGAAGTTGCTGTAATTAAAATTCAGACAGCCTTTCGTGGTTATCAAATTCGAAAGAAATATGGGCCATTAATTAATAGCAAGACGGGGAAAATTGATTTTGTAACAGCAAAGTTTATTGAGCCTTACGCATTCCGTTGGAAGAAGAAATCAATTTATCAAATTTTATTGCAATATCGTTCAATTCGTCATTTGGATTTGGTGAACTTTTCTCAGGTATAATTGAAAATAATTTTTAATTACTTTAATTAATTTATGGATGATGTTGTTGCAGCAAGTTCACATATATAATCAACGGATGGTGACTGGCTTGACGATAACTGCAAATTGTGTTTTGTTAGATAAAATTGATCTCAAGCAAATCAATAAAGAGCAACTTGGGTGAGCATGTTTGATGATCATGAGGAAATTTACTTAAATTTCTATTGCAGACCATTGCGTCGAGCAGTGTGGAAAATTCCATTCCGTTTGGATGAAATTCCTTTCTTCGACACAACATATTTGTGTGAACCAGCTCAACCAACTCATTTCACATCTTATGAAGAAGAAACTGAGCCATGGGACGCACCATTCCGTCATCGTAACAATGTGTCAACTCATATCAGCAGCCACTTGTACAGTGGATTAAGACGAGAATCGAATTACTCTGAGATTGGATCGGATGATGGAGTGCTTGTTAATGAACCATTTACGCGTGATCCAAATATTCAAATAAAGAAATTAAAAGCGAGACGTTACGACAATTCACCTCGTCCAAGCATCGTAACGCCTATTGATGAGTCTCGTCGTTCTTCTCATGCATCAACACCATTGAAAAAATCTCACATTGGAAATCTACTTGAAAAGTTCAACGAAAAGCAATTATTTGCTGATGATAAAGTTTATAAGAAAAGATCAGCTCCAAAACCACCAGCCGATGGCTTCAATGAAAATTTGGAACATCGAACAAGAGTTCAAAAAAAAGCAAATGCGCCACCGCGACCTTCCTCGCCACATCAAATTCCAAAACCTGATCCAATCAAGGAAATGCAATCAATTGGGAAAATTGAAGTCTTGAAAATTAATTATTTTAATTAACTCTTTTACACATCTTCATTTATTTTTAGACAACTCCAGATGATAATGAACCACCTTTTAATTTTCAGGGGATGTTGAGAAAAACGAAATATCATCGAAGTTCTATGAAACGAACGGGTGAAAGCAACTTGTCTACTATTACAGATGACAACAATAATTCAGGTAAATTTTCGATTTCCTCGTTCAATGTTATAAAAATTATCTAATTACCGCTTTTAATAAAATTTACCAGAGTCGTACGTCGAAAGTTTGAACAGCTATTCAACTGTCGTCTTTCACAGCAAGGTAGAAGATCCAATTCCACTCGTTGCACGAAAATCCCCACAATTAGAGAAATCTGAGTGCAGACCAGATACAAAGGATCTTAATGCTAATCCTAAATTCGTGCAAGAAGAAATTGTTCCAGGTAAGAAATTAAATTCTTTTCTTATTATTTTTATCACGTTGCAATTGAATATTTTTGGAGCATGTTACAAATTAATTTTGTTTCTATTGCAGGTATAATTGTCGAGGGTTATGTTGAGGATTTGTAGTAATTGAAAGATTTATTAAGCCTTATGCATTCCATTTTGGATTGAAAGTGAATAAAATGTTGGAAAATATTCGTATCTAAACATTAATTCAAACGAGCATGACTTAAATTCATTGTCATTATTTCAATTGTCTTACAAATGATTCTTAATGTAGAAAAGATTTTAAAAACGAATGAACATGTTGCAATGACACACTCCCTTAAATTTCAAACTTTAGATAAAAGCAATAAAATGTTTAATGAGAGAAAGAATAAAAGAGTTGTTTGTCTAAATCAGCTGTTTTATGGCAATGATTTCTCTCATTATTCGCATCCTTTGAAATCTGTTATCTACGAAAGCTTACAAATACATAAATCAAGATGGAGGGAGAAGATCTTCAGCCATTGGTTCCTTGATTGGTTCTTACAAGAGAGAAATGAGAGAGAAAAAGGATTAAAAAAATTATTGAGAATTATTTCTGAGAAAGAGAATTTCGCTTATAAAAGAAAGCATAAATCATAAATATTCATCATAACTTTTCCTTCTTGCTAGCCGTACAGAAGTCCTTAAGAGTTTTAACTAGTGAAGTTATTAGAAATATTTATCAAATTAGAAAAACATTGTTCCAATTTATAAAGAAAAATAATAAATTTTGTGCATTTTAAAAAAGTGAAAGCTTCCAAAAGTGTTGTTAAAAATTGAAAAATTATAACTTTATTATTAAATCAAAAACAGCAAAATGTATTCAGAAGAAGTTCTAAGTGGCGTTCAAGATCAATGGATGGAAGATATCAGAAAAAATCCAGCATTCTTAATGACCATCAATCCAAAACCAATGGCTGAACTCTCACGACCTCGATTGTCATGTGACGATGTTCACCGCTTTAATCATCTAAATGCAGAATATGAAAGATTTCTTTCTTCGATTGGAGCACCAAATTATGCACCTGAAATATCACCAATGAAAACAAAAGCCAGTACATCGAGAAAGTCATTTGGAAATCAACTGGAAGCAAAAAACTACCCACCGATTAGCCCATTGTCATGTGATGCGTATCTTCATTGCTTTAATCAATTCAATGCAGAACATGAAAAATATCTTCCTTTGATTGGAGCACCAAATTATGCGCCTGAAATATCACCAATGAAAACAAAAGCCAGTACATCGAGAAAGTCATTTGGAAATCAACTGGAAGCAAAAAACTACCCACCGATTAGCCCATTGTCATGTGATGCGTATCTTCATTGCTTTAATCAATTCAATGCAGAACATGAAAAATATCTTCCTTTGATTGGAGCACCAAATTATGCGCCTGAAATATCACCAATGAAAACAAAAGTAAGTACATCGAGAAAGTCATTGGGAAATCAACTGGAAGCAGAAAACTACTCATCGATTAACTTATCTGAATCAGAAATAGCAAGCAGTTTATCAGGAAAGCAAATAATTAAATCCCCAACAACGACATCGAGAAGCTCGTCGGTTAATGAAGTGACAACAATCTCATCAAAAAAGTCAGCTCGATTGGAAGCAGTAATAAGCGCATTGAGAAAATCATTAGCTGAATCACTACCAAGCTTGTCGGAAACTGAAGCAACAACCATCATGTCTGAAAAGGAAGCAACTGAATCAACTGAACCAAAAGCCAGCTCGTCAAGAAATTTAGAATCAGCAGAAGTTAACTTGAATGCTATGTCAATACCTAAACATGAAATCGAATGTGACATTGAAACCTTCTTAGTTCATCACACCAAAAACTTCTTCAGCAAGACGGGAACAAGTTTAAAAAGCAATTACCGCAAGAAATTCGGTTTTCGTCAATTGATGGAAACGAAGGACTCAGCATTATATCCTTCAAATCCCAGAAATACTACAAGGCAGCGTACAATTGCTGATGCATCGAATTCATCTGTGGCTTCAGTCAAGGAGTCAGAAAAATCAACAGATGAAGAGTCGCAGCTCGAAAAACCTCC